CCTCCTCCTCCCTCCTCTCTCTCTCTCTCTCTCTCGTCGCTTGTTTTCCTGCGAAATCAACGGAACACAAGGTATTCGAGGTACGAGCCGTGTAAACCAGGCGTTATTCCATGGAGGCGAGGTTGCCTTTACGACCAATTACACACACGTATCACCGTCCGTAGTAAAATATTCCCGAGCAATCGTTTGTTTCTTATCGTCACGAGACCCACGATCTCGAATCGCGTGGCGTTCTTCATCTCCTCAGAGAGCGGGAGTTTTTAAATTAAACAGCGTTCCTTTTTTCTCTCTTTCTCCCTCTCTCTCGCCATTTCTTCTTGAGAGGGATCGTTAAGGAGCGTGAATCACGGCAGGTGAACGCGATAAAGGGTGATTCTTATTGTGATTCAGGCACAATAAGAATCATGGTCTCTCTTGAGGAGGTCTGGAAAGAAGAGGAAGAAACGGAAGTGGAAGTCGAGATGTTAGAGGTTCTTCTTTCGTGGCTTCGTAGTCTGTTTTATCTTTGCTCGTTTTTTATTTAAGAAGTCTTGTTCTTTTTTAAGCTATGGGAGGAATATCGAATAACTTCAACTGTTATCGGAAGAAATGTTACGAATATTTCGTATATTCTTGATTATTATTTCCCAAATTGTCGATTTTTAAGAGACACGATCGAATGTGAGAATGCACGACGATGTGGCATCAAATTCGATAGTATAAAATAACCTCTATTTTTCTCTTCTTCTTCTTCTCTTTTTTTTTCTCTTTTTATTTTCATTTCAAACAAAGCCAATAGAAGAGAATAACAAAATAACTTGCACGGTGGAAGATCGTAAATTTATTAGTATTTCCATGTTTTTCCTCGCATTTTTCCCGGTATTCTCGAATATTTATTACGAATCACTTGTATATCACGTGCGAATATGTATTTATTTACGTAATACGTAATTTGAAAAGGAGTTTCAGATCGGTTTAAGGAAACGATCTAGCGAGATCTTGGAAAGTAGTTCAACGATAATCGTCTCGATGGTACAGTCGCGCTTATTGAGCTTCGTTTAACGATTTCTGACCGGCAATGTCGCGATAAGAATTTAATTCCGTTGCGAATAATAAAAAAAGTTCCAGGAAATACAACTTTTTTTCCTTCTATATCTCGCGAATCTCGCGATCGTGAATCTCCGTCCGTTCTCGATCGATAATTCCCGTGTAATGCGAAATTTTAATATTAATCACCTCTGCAAATCGCCCACTGCGGATCGGACGAAATTTAAATATTAATACATAGGATTTCGACAAATCCGAGAAATTCTGGATCGCTGGAAGATCGACGCGATCATTGCTCGTTCGCATATCTACGACTCGTAATCATCATTCGTACATTTAAATAATTCATGCGTCGGGTTTAATATAAGTAAAGAATTCATTTTCAAGTAGAGTTAAAATTTCTGAATTACAGCACGAGAAATGAATCCTCGAAGTAATTCCACAAACTGTTTAGAATAAAAATTTAATACATCACAACAAAAAAAAATAATACAAAAGATCAAATTTCTAATAATCCACCTTTCGAAACGAAAGCTCGATGCAATGGAAATATAACAATTGGACCTTAAATCCTTAAATTCCAGAACGCAAAGATCGAAGCGCAGCTCGAAATCGCGCGATATTACTCACAATCAGTCGACTGTTGGAGAGGGGGCACGGTAATCAGCGATTAGTATCCTCGCGAACTAACGCAACCACTTTTTCTCTTCTCCAGATAAAAGCAAGTTTATCGGCGAGGCGTCGAGCCTCAATAAATTTGAGCCGGGTCGCTCTTTATCGTTGCACGATTATCACTATGGCTCCGATAGCGACTTCCTTTTCCATATTGCGCCGCCGTTTGTTAACCGTGCTGTAACTACGTATTTCTGTGCCGCACTCTTTCACGTGTCTCTCACGTATATCGCGTATTTTTTTCCCTTTTCTTTCTTTTCTTTTTTTTTTTTTTTTACATTTGTGTACGTTCGTTCGCGCGGATGAAATTAACGCAGCCAAGGGGAAGAATTAACGAGCAACCCCTCTTTTTGAACGGGGTTAGATATCGCGTAAATTTCACGGACGTTTAATTTAAGGAAGCTCGGATGAATTTTCCTTCGCGGAAAGAACGGGCGAGAAAAATTTGTAAAAATTTGTAAAAATTGTACAGGATACAGGTTATGCACACAGGGTTGTTGAAGCAGTGATTATTAAAGCCCCGGTGATTGAGATCACGATTATGATTACGATTATATATAGTTGTTGCAATTGTTCTTGTATTATACGAATGAACTACGGCTGATTATATGATTTTACGAGCCAAGTGTCGTATTAATTGTTAAGAAATCGTTGATTTTCGGTGGCAATCTTTTTTTGTAATTAAGATGAGAATTTTGATTAAGGAGGATCACCGTAATGAAAAGAATATAAACAATCCAATTCGCAGATGCTTTTAACGGAGACGAGAATTTCTACGCGGTTAATAAAATCGAATTTTGTTTCGTTATTTTCTTTTAAAATTTCGTAAAAAAAATAAATAAATAAAATTCCGACCAACGAAATTCCACTGCAACGGTTTTATTTCAAACCCTGTGCGTGATACCACCATTTCACACTCTGGATTTCGAGCAATTATCGTTGGGGATAGGAATAACGATGAACCGAATGTTGGGACACATGGGTAAACATTCGTGAAAACAGCGAACCACAAAGGATCGTAATTAACGGAGCGGGCGATCTCTGGAGGAAGGCGAGTGGGGGTAGATTTCATTTCAATCCCGTTTACGATCCATTACTGCTTTTTCCGCACCGATGAGACACAGTAAAAGTCACATGCGCCAGCGATGAGCCATGGTTAAAGAGAGAGAGAGAGAGGATTATTGCGCTTAAAAGACTCTTTTCACTTGTGAAAACTGTCTTCTGTCGCGCGACAGTGGCGTTTCAGAGCGCCAGGAATTCAGAAGGAATTGGAGGGGCGTGACGTTTCGACTTTCGCGTAAAATGTGTATACGGAACGGATGGAAAAAAGATATACGTATTTTTGAATGCGACACTTTGAAAAAAATAATTTAAGAAAATTGGATAAAGAGGATAGATATAATCCCGAATATTACTTTACAAAAAGTTAGAAAACAAACTAATCGTTTGCGAACTTTTTTTTCTACGTATTTTTTTTTTTATTATTATCCGAGATGAGTACGTTGGGATTAAAATTAATTTAGAAAAAACTTTCAGAATTTTTCCATCGTTTATAACAATTACGTATTACTTGACAATATACCGTTTAATAATTCGAGTAGATATCGCAGAATATCATAAATATAAATATAATTTAAGATAATTCCAGTTAACAATTTTCGATTACAGGCAAAATTTCTCTCGATGATAATAGTTTTTAATAATAATTCTCGAGCGATTGATCGGTTGGCCATGGGTCATTAACACACGGCTATTTATTTCCACGAGCGTTGTACGCCCTAAAAATTCGCGCCGCTATTTTTAAAACGTTCAACTCGATAAGGCGAGCCGTGCGTGAACATTATGTAACAAGGGGTGGAAGATGTCGATTAATTATAAGTCGTAGAATATATCGGGCAACGCTTATGCACGGAGCTTGACATTAATGACGCAAACAGCCCCTCCCCCCCCCCCTACTTAGGGGTGGAAACCGTTTTGATTACATTTACGCCGCATTAGTGACAGCTTTGCCCTGTTGTGCGAAGGGAAAAGACATCTTTTCGTTCTTACGAACTCGTTAAAACTTGTTTATAGAAGAATTTTATAGAGAACTCGATTTTCGTCGAATCGATATCGAATGGAAGGTTCTGTCATGCGTCAAATTTATTAATGATTGCTTATACGAATTGTTTGGTTTATTCGTTGTAAATAATTATTGCATGTCTAATTTTTGTTGAGCCAGTCAATTTTTATATGAAAATTGAAAGAAACTCACCCTCTCAAGTGTAATTTTCTCTTGCAATTTCTCTTTCACGGCAATATATTAAGTCAGTATTATTAAGTCACGAATGATTAAGTCAAAAATCTCTCTTTTTGATGCAAATTTTAAACCCATGTCTCGTCAAATGTATTTTATAAATCAACACTATCTCTTCTTATCCTTCTAAATACTATCATTAAAACAATCATTATTAAAATCGATAAACTCGGCCAGAAAAATCACAAAAATCACAAAAATCTCCATCCCTCCACTCGAACGCGAACTAATAATTTAATTCAATTACCTAATCGAGAACCCTAATCTGTTCGTCAAAACAGTTTCGAATCAACCACCTCGGCAACAACTTCATAAATCTCGCTTTACCCAACACGGATCCACACACGATCAAACGTGTCTATTAATTCTGTAATGTTGTATACTTGATCTTATCGCTTGACCAAACCGACCGACCCGATCAATTAATAAATTACAAATTTCCAGTTTCCAATCGAGCCGCGTTTATTCCTTCTCGTTTTCAGGTAACCCGGAAACAACACCGGCTTCCAACCAGTTCCATCGACTGGCACTGGAATTCTTGCGATTTCTCTATCGCGACGAAACACGAGGGGGAAACGAGGACGATTCGTATACGATTCGTGGCCGGCCGAAGGTTGTAAATCATCCTTCTGTCAAGCGGTGGATCGAGGGGGATCCTCGAGACCGCGTTAGACCGTGCAGCTTGGAATTTCAAATCGCGATTCCTTGTCGCCTTCCAGGCCCCCTCCATGGGTCGATAAATCAACAAAAGATTTAAATCAAAAGGCCGCTTATTAGAGTCGTGGTAAACGCGTTTTGTTTCGACCTCGTGAGAACAAGCAAATTCGATCGTTCCATTCGTGGGATCGATACGGTTTACGTTATCTCGAGAGGAGATTGACGCGGTAATTGAAACGAAGTGTCAGCAATGAAAGGGATATTACGGTGGATATTATTGGTGGCGATTGGGGGGAGGATTGGGGGGATGCCACGACGAGTTGCTGCAATGGAAATTGGAAGATGTTTGATTTTGGAAATTTTTTTATATCGTTTAGGATCGATGAAGGGATTGAATTTTTAAGGGATAACTGCAAGTTGTGGCAATTGGAATTGGAATAAATGATACTTGGGAATTTTTAGATGTGATTGATGAGCTTTGTAATTGATTTCTTATTGAATTTTTTATTGAATCGGTTATGGCGATGAAAATTGAAACAAGTTTGAGTATTTTTGGACGATCTCGAGAAGCTTGATGATTAAGTTTACGATTGATTTTCATGTTAAATCTAGACAAAGGTTCGTGAATTAGTCTCGAAGATCATAAATTTTCGAAGACTGGCGTGACCCATATTTGGCTGAAAGATAATGTTAATAACTTTTCTATCGCGCTCTAATATCTGTTTTCTCATCGTGGAAATAGAACAATAACCTCGTGGAAAAAATTGATTGTTAAAAGTTAGCGTAGTAGAAATTTTCTTGTATAATAATTCCTTGATATTCTTAACATTAAATAATTTTAATAGTGATGAAAATATTATACAGGAACATAGAGATAAACTTTCTTTGTATAAAAAAAGATTATCTTCTGACAAAAAAATATGTTAATTTGAAATTTACTGAATTATAAAAAATATGTACATAATAGAAACACGAGGATATTATTTTCAAAAATTAATTTCGAGATAAACTACGTTATTTTATATAATTATAATTTGTAGAAGGAATTTTATTACATCTCGAGGTTCTCAGATTTTAAAAATTTCCATCATTATAAATCCGGAAGATCAGATATATATTAAAAAGGGGGGAAAAAAAATACAAGACAAACAAATAAATTATAATTAAATTCAATCTTGATTATAATTCTACGTAACGAGATTAAACTTCATTGAAATTTTACGATCTATTCTTTTAACTTCGTTATATCAACTTTTAACTTTGTTAATTTCTACTTCTTCTTCAAAGAGAATGAAAAATTATGATCATATGTTACTTTTATAACGATAAGAAAAATTCTACTGTAATTAGAAATAGTAATAACTTCATCTTCAAATAAAAGCCGATCTTTAATTAAGTTTTCCAACTCCGATCAATCACGATTCTTGTGATCGATATCACTTTTAATAAAAATAGCTTCGTTATATGTAAAAATACAAACTTTTATTTTCTCGTGAGATCAACTTCAACAAATTATATCACATAAAAAAATTCCAATTATTGATTCAATTTAATTATACCATACCTTCTTCGATTCAGCTCAATCATCACTCTTCTTCCTATTGCAATTATATTTTAAATCCTGAATCTTCGCGTCAAACTTTTCCACTACCCCAACAAAAATCTTCAATAAATCTCTTCACCCTTTCAATAATTCCCGCTCGACAAATCCCCAATCAACATCTTAAATTCCTACATATCACAATTAAATTTCGCGTTGAATCTTCGCTTACTAATACCTTTCCAACCAAATTTTTGATCTTCGATTTCCACAAAAAAAAAGCTCCACTCTCGATCGATCTCTTCAAGCATCTCTCAAATCCTCTTCTTCTTTCTCATCTCTCAAACTTTCTACGCGCCACGATTAAAGTTTAAACTTTACCTCGAAATTCACACTTGAATTCTTTTCAACTTCAATTTTCACAAAAAAATCAACCCTTCAAACTGTGCACGCGCCAACACAAAATTTAAAATTTCACCACCTTCTGAACCTTTCCACCCAACCACCTCTTCGTCACCTTAACCCCCAATTTTTCCACTCTCCCTAGAAACCACTATCACTCTCGATCGACCACAAAAATCCCTCTCCCTTACACCTCCTCCCCTTCTCCTCATCCCTCGAGAAGAGGCGAAGATCCCTCCC